AATGTTTCATGAATCACACGTGAACTCTGTCGTAAGTTGATTTGTGCGCACGGATCTGCGCTCGATTCTACGTTAGATTGATAAATGAGGCCCAGTGTGTCCAATTCAATGTAAAATGTGTGTTTGTGTAGCCATCTCTTTTACAAATGCTACAAGAGTGTCGCTGTCCACGGTCTTTACGTTGCATCTGACTTCTGAAACCTAATGACCCATTCCACAAGCCTTTAATCATTAACGGCGTTGAGAAGAAATGCATCCCCTGCCTTTCTGCTGCAAAACAGCAGCCTGTGACAGAGGTAATTGTGGGTCCTTACAGCCGCAAATTTATTACAAGTCCTGCGCCGAGTCCCAGGATTCTTCATTATCCCTTAGATTTACCACGTAATCTATGCTGCCACTCTGTCTTTGTTCATGTACCCATGATTACTCTCATGAAATGCTCAGGGTCCAGAGTGGCACCCGTATTACTCACACCAGCTTCTCAAAAGATACACCTTGCTCTCTCACTCTCTCCCCACACAAACACAGCAGATCGCACACTTCATATATTGCAGACAGGCCCTGAGGGACTGCATGTGTGGGGCTCTTTTTGCTGGTGCAGTCTGGGAGAAAGTAAACAAGTAAACTTTGTCTGACGGAGATTGTAGGAATTGGAGATGTTGGTAGACAAGACAAAGTGGCTGCAGGTTTGAATCCAAGTGGTGGACGAGGAATACTTGGTTGCCTGGTTTTTGTCCTTCATCTCTGTCACCATTTTACCTCAGAGCATAGTACTTAACTGCAGGTTGCTCTGGGAGTGCAATTAGTGAACTACATGTCGGTTTGGATAAAAAGCATCTGCTAAATGGCAAGAAATTTGAAGTAAGGTACATGTATAGTATAAGTTAGCAAAGCACAATATAGCATACAGTAATATTGCATTACAGCACAATTCATTGTACCACAGCATGTTAATATGCATATCAAAACTGTGAAGTGAGTTTCATGCATTAAAGTTACACTTAGTAGTTATTTCCTCATGTAATAAACAATTCATCATTAAGACATTTTATCTTTGAACCTTTGTTTCTTGCCAAATTACAAGTCCATAATAATGCTTCCTCCAGTGAAAAAGTCCATCTTCTGTTGTCTTCTCACATCAAAATCCTCTGACATATTTGTTTAGAATTGTTTTAGCTTGTAAATGATACTTGATTTCTCTCCTGCTTCAGATGAGATGGCTTTTTCACTGGAGAAAGCAATATTATTGAAGTTAAAAACACCTTAATGATGGATTTGTTTCTTACAAACACTTTTGCTTCAAAAGATTTTAATCGATGATCTGGAGTTGTGTGGATTATTGTGATGTTTTTTTTTCTCCAGCTGTTTGGACTCTTTCTGACGGCACCCATTCACTGCAGAAGATCTACTGGTGAGAAGGTGATGTAATGCTAAATTTCTCCACATCTTTTTGGAAGAAGGAACAAACTCATCTACATCTTGGATGGCCAGAGGGTGAGTAGATTTTCAGCAAATTTTCATTTTTGCGTGAACTAAAAGTTTCACACAAAGACATGAACAGTAATTTTAAAAAATATCTTTAAAATGATGTACACTCAGACGAAAATGAAGTCTTTAGCTACATTAGTATATGAACAAATGCTTAATATATGTCGAACACAGAGATGCCAGCATGTACTGCATTCAAAAGTTACTGATTACTGGTCTACTGCCTGGGGTTTCTGTTTTATGATGCTCTTATATTCGTCATCTGTAAAATCACCACACTGCTTGAAATTATCTTTAACAGATTAATATGACTATAGTCTCAGTTAAAGCTCTAATTTCCCTTTTTGATTCCAAGTGCCCCCATTGCCAACAATATTCAGAAATTATTTTCAAAGGATTTATCTGGTACTTCTGCTGTAATGACAAAGCTGCTCATTTTCAAACTTTTTTATATAGGTTAAAATGAAATACATTAAGTACTTAAACTGAAATTCCATAATTCCAGAAGTTTCAATAATTGTTCTTTAGGAACTTTATATTACCAATGAATTTAGATGACTCTTCTAGTTTATTTTATTTTTATTCACTAAAAGCATTTTCAAAAGGTTGAAATAACTAGAAAAAAAATCATTATAAAAATTGTATTAACTTCTGTGACTTTTTCCAGATCTATAAATTACACAATTAAAATCCCTCATATAACCCAATTTTCCAAGACTGTGAGAACTCTGCTTATTAAACTCAAATGATTGTTGCTGCGGGAACAAACAAACAAACAAACAAATAAATAAATAAATAAAACAAAATGAAATAAAAAGAAATTACAATGACAGCTTACATCTTGAATTTTAGAGGTTTTAGCTTACTCCAAAGACTTCTGGAAAACTGGATAACTTCAAAACGGAAGCATTAAAGCCTATTCATCAGAATCAAACCTAAAGCAGGATGGTTAGCAAGTTGATAGCAAAAGTATTTAGACAAAAGGACACTGGACAACACATACTGAATTTGAAAGTGTTTTCTGCTACTTTTAAGGGACGATTTACAGCCTCTTTTAAACAAACTGTAAAATCTTAAGCAGTTATCAAAGTCAAGGTTTGTCTTCCTCTCGGTGTCACTGCAATGACATCCACCATTATGCTATATGGAATTGAATCTTTATCACCCAAATAAAATACTGCCAACTGGAAAACATCTTCTGTGACTCATTTTAAAGGCCTTTTGCTATATACAGGATGTCTTAAATGTGAAGGTGTAAGTGTTATATGCAATAATAAAGACTGTTTGCAAACAGGTTTCCTAAACACTTTGCCTATCTGCCATTGGTTGGAGGTTCGTATGCAATAACTGATCATTTAGCCTACATAAACAACAGCATCAAGTGCGTTACAGGTTCCAATTTTAAAATACTTCATTGCAAAGGCCTATTTTGTGCTTTGCAATCTGTAATCCATAACTGACAACATATATTTGATCTACGGCTTTTGCAAAGATTTATACAGAAGATGCAACACAAAAGGGCAAAAAACAGCTTATTGGATTGCTGAGGGAGAACAACACCCTGCCTTGGGCTTTGATTGTATTAACTCTGTCATTTATCATCCATTATTCAAATTACAAAGTAGCATTTATGCCTTACAGATCCTCGCTCACAGCTGGAGCAAGACACACCAAAGCACAACAAAGCAACTGTGGCCTGGTCATACTAAATGGAGTAACTTGGGTCTCATAAAACTGCTTATAAAACTAAGTCACGGCTAACACTGTCAAAGGCGTAAACCAACAGTGCCTTTGCCTTGGCTTTCTAGAGTATCAGTGTGCTAATGAGATTGAAGGGAAACGTTTAGAGTTTGGGAGTTCAAGGCTGAGAACTACAGTATTTACCATCGTAACAGAAGCCATGTAGACAGGGGTTGGAGCTGCACTCGTCTATGTTGATCTCACAGCGGGGCCCTGTGAAACCCTGGCGACATCGGCACCGGAAACCCAGAGGGAAGAGGACGGGATCAGCTTCCTCCACACACTCTGCCCCGTTATCACATGGATTAACAGCCTCACAGGGCAGCAACTCGCAGTTAATCCCTGAAATTCCAAATACAGAATGAGAAATACAATTCCATCTGCAACAAAAACAACAACAGAAAATGTTTTGACTGTTTGTTTACTCTACAAATTCATATAATTAATTACTTAAAAGGCCTCTATTGCTACATTTAAGTCAAAAGCAGCCTTGTCACTTCTGAAAGGGGTCCCACACATTTTGACCACTGAATTTCCATGACTTTTCCAAGACAGAGGCACAAACAATCCTTTTTTGTCACCTAAGGAGTTGCAATTTATTATTTATTATTTTGATGTACCATCATACATAAAAAAATCTAATTAATTAAAATGAAACCACTTTGTGGAGTACATTATTTTTCAGTGAATTTGAACATTCACAATAATGACTTGACTCTTCCAGTCACTCACAAGGATTACTCCACAAGGATTTATTTATACATTTAATTAATTTATTTTTTAATTACAGTTTAGTAATAGCATTAATTAAGTGCAATTTCTCACCTAAGACTTTTTCCAGGCCTTGATAAAACCGTACACATTTTTGAAAGGTTTATCTTTAAGTAAAAAAATAATTCCATATTTTCTCATTTTTACCCTGTTTGGACTATCTTATTAATTGTAACTGGTTTTAGATGAGTAATGTTGATCTCACACAAATTTTCCTGCCTTTTTTCATGAATGAATGAATGAAGCTGATATTTATATTATTTCCCCATAATCCTGCTGAAAAAAAAAATGCTTAGACTAGTTTGGGTCATCTTGTTAATTCCAGCTGGTTATAGATGAGCAATCTTGATCTGTTACCAAAATGAGTTATGGTAGTCATGGGCGACATTAGTGTTGTTGACTAACCAAATTGTTAGTCATGGAATCCCTGATGTTATGGGATTACATCTCTGCCACAATTCTGCGCATGAAAGATCATATTTTGAACGCGCAAAAATGCGTTTTGCACCCGCGCAAACTGAGTTTTGTGGAGAAAATGAAGAAGAAGAAAGTATTTCGAGCGCACGAAAATCAATTTTGCATTTAAAATAAGTTTTGGGATTTGTGCAGACCTTCTCTTTGCGCGTGCAAAGTTTCACTAGCTTGCCCACCTGATGCCCGCCCTCAGTGCTCTCTAAATTCTAACAACTCGCTTGCTCAACACAACCCAGCGTTACAATATGCCATAATTCCAGCCAATCAGAGACGAGGCTGCTAAATTCTGATTGCTCGTCTCTGATTGGCTGGAATTATGGCATATTGTAACGCTGGGTTGTTGAGCAAGCCAGCCGTCGGCATTTAGAGAGCACTGAGGGCGGGCATCAAGGGAGCAAGCTAGTGAAACGTTGCATGTGCAAAAGAGAAGGTCTGCACACAGCCAAAAACTTATTTTAAATGCAAAATTGATTTTCGTGCGCTCTAAATACTTTTTTCTTTGCGAAACGAACATTTTCTCTACAAAACTCTGATCGCACGCGTGCAAAATGCACTTTTGTGCGCTCAAAATATGATCATTCACACAGAATTGTGGCAGAGATCTAAGCCTATACGATGTCGGCGCCGTTGCAATTGGAGCGCTTAGCCAAGCGCTAAATACCCTCACCGTGTTTATGCAGCGTTGAGCAATGTAACCAATCACATACATATCGGTTGATTTCTTGAACGCAATGGCCAATCAGAAACGTTTTGTCAGAATTCACTCACCGCTGAAAGCGCCGCAATTTTTTCGCGATGAATGAAGATGAGTGACGCGTTTTAGTGATAAAGGGAGCGTGGTTTGCGACACTTTCTAGGCATAATCCATTCAGAATTTGTATGAAACTTTCATTTTTCAGACACATAGGCTACACCCTGTAAAGTTTCGGGAATGACATCACATATTTATGCGGGATTCACTCTCGAAATAGCAGTGATTGGCAATGGACGGAACATAAAATATGTTGATTTAATTCTGGAACCGGTCCTGGCCAAACCTCCACAGACAGCGCGCATCCCGAGCGAGATCTAATTCACGGACCAAAAGCGTGTGTAAACTTTATTC